TTGATCTACCGTAAATGTGACCCTGATCATAATTTACCATAAATGTGATCTTAATCATATTGATCTATCAACACGACCCTGATGACTGATGATAATTATTTTGATCATTATGACTTATGATAATTATTTGTCAAATGCAACCCTAGAATAACACTACCATATTAGAACAAACAGCATTTTTTGGAATGCATTATGTTATGTTTGAGTAGTGCAAAGAAATATCTGGGTTTTTGAATGTTGCTAGATTTTTTTTTTCATTTGTGTTTTCAAGATACATTGAATACCTATATTGTAAGGTGCCTACATACACTTTATATTTACACTTCACTATGTTTGCATACAATGTATCATAATAAATTGTTACCAAAATTTAAAAACGAAAATACTTATATGTGTCTTCATTTGCATCAGATAAAGTTTTAAAGTAACATTAAAAATAATAGATTAAATACCTATAGCTCAGTGTCATGGGACGAGTGTATATTGAACATCCAGGTGGTAGTAAAATATTTTCATGTGGAGAATGCTGCACCCCTGTTACCAACAGAAAGTCTCTTATTTCAACTCGCTTTACTGGTGCAACTGGCAGAGCTTTTCTCTTCAGCTCTGTGGTGAACCTCATTTATAGGTGGGTTTCATACTCTTACGATTATTGATGCATTATTTGTAATGGAGTGTCTATTACACAGCTTACAATTAATATGTCACCTAAACTTTGGACCAGACTAAACCTAAGTTTACTGGAGCTCACTGACTTTCTGAAGCTTTGCTATCAATTTTTAATTACGCTTATTTTTTAAACATGAATGTTTGTTAATTTTCATCAGGTATTGTATGTTTCAATATTTTGTGCATACATTTAGAAATTTTATTGTTATTAACCCAAAACACATTTATTACATAAACATCCAGGCTATGTGATTCTAATTCAATGCCACTAATTCTATTTACCATTAGTATAGTTGGTGCTCATTACTGTGTTGCAAGAATAAATTCAAGGAGTTCATTTTCTATTGCAGTTCTGTACAGGCAAGAATGATGTTAACAGGCCGTCACATGGTCCGGGATGTCTCATGCAAATACTGCTCTGCAAAGCTTGGCTGGATATATGAGTTTGCTACAGATGAAAGCCAAAGGTATGCATAAACTTACTTGTTCATGTTCCTTTTCCTAGATTGCAATGGGCTAGTAGCGGTCTTGCTAAAATATTGTCATTGTTCTATTTTTTGATATATTTTGGCATATGGGGGTTTTCATTAGTAACAACATGCATGATATATGTGGGCTTTAATTATTATGTAGGATTATGTTTTTATTATCTTGAAATGTTTGTTGATCAAGCTGTTATAAGCACGGCATTCTAGAAGAGAAGAAAACCTCAATTTCTGGAAAATTTAGGGATTGGAATGCAAGTTGAATGTGAAGTTCATTATGACAATGGTAAACACTCTTATCAGATCATTTATTTTTTCATAAAGATTACTTTAGAGGCAATATTTTAGAAATGATTGATATTTATGTGACTGATAAATTTGCATGTAGAGAAAGCTGAAAAATTACTGCAGGCATCAGATATTCAACAAAGTGGTCATGAGGCATAGCATTTGCCAGCATTGTATCCAGTTATACTGTCATCAATGCAAATTCTTACTTATGTTATTTTAGAATGCAATACACTTGTTATTTATACATATAATGTTCAAAAATGTTTGTAGGTGAGACAAGGCTTGTGTAATACAGGTACAAGGAAGGCTGCGTGATCCTGGAGCGCGCACTTATCGTCGAGACAGACGGTATTGAGGAGTTATGATGTCACAACAAGACTTCTCTCTGAGTTCTTATTTTTCACAATTCAGCTCCCAAAGTCATCAGCATGGCTTCTTCTAGGTGGATTGAATTTCCAAAAAAACGTTTAGTTGCAGATTTTATTTCTATTCTAATCATTACTCTCAGTATTTTAGCCCTTTAGTACTCATTTGAGAAAGAAATCATATGATCACTTTAAAAACAGCCCAAAATGGTGATAGAAATGGAGGAGTACAGCCAACTTCATCTACAGGCAAAGGGTACTTCATTGAGAGACAATTGTGGCTCAGGTTTGTACCACTTCATAGACACACTGACCGCTCTGTTCATTTGAAGCTGGATAATGTCTTATTCATACTCATTGGATATCAACTTAGTGTGAGATTATTGCTGTATTTACAACTGATTGCTACTGAATTTACAGTCTTATTGTAAGGGTATTGACAGTATGATTGTAGCTGTAGCTACAGTTTGATTGTCACTGTATTTGCAGTCTGATTGCAGCTTCATTTACAGATTGATTGTTGTCTATTTGGCTGAATTTACCATCAGATTGTAGCTGTTTATGTTCTTAATATGACAGTTGCTACATTTACGTTCTGGCTCTGACCATGCTGAGTATTTTGTTTTAGCTTTGAGATTTTTAAAATTATTTACTTTATTAGACGACTTCTAAAATATTGATTTTACCTCAAAAACAAAAATTAACCAAAAATCTCTGTATTTTTGTTGCGATGTGTAATATTTTGCAAGTATTTTAAAATAATTTTAAACTTTAGATATTTGGCACACGAGTGCCTCAATGATTTTAAAAATATGTATATGTTCTAATTTTTACCATATACAATAGAACAGGCATGAGCTTGCCATCTCGCATAAGGTAGTCATGAAGCCACTTCCCTATGCTTTTTTACTATGTTTTTAAATTTTTGTTAATTGTTGTTATAAAACACGTCATTTTAGTTGGATGAGTACGCAAAATTTTACTGTAATAAATTATCAGTGTCTAGATTTCTTAAATGATGCCGAAAATAAATAAGTTCGAACATATTTTTTAAAGCAAAAAGATTGATATCTAATAGGACACTGAAATTTAGTTCTTGTATATACACACTTAGATGATCTAGCCCGTTATGATTCGATCTTTGCGTATAAATACATGACCGATGCTGTTCATCCGATGGTCCGTGTTGATAGTCTTCCCGTAGTATTACTAGAAAGTCTTGTAACTAATCAGATTCTCTTGAATTTGCCACTTTATGTCAATTGCTATTTAACATTCACGTTATAGTAGCATGCGACTCTTAGAATATTTATGTAACCAAATAACTGACGTTTACCCCCCAATAAATTTTATTACGTAACGTTCAGTTTAAGAAGCGCTACTGCGATCACAGTTCACCTCGTAGCCGGCATGCTGTGCATGCTTGAACTGGTGTCAGGTGGCGTACACGATTTATAACGAAAATAATTTCTTGTGTGTATTGTTGGCTACTTGCTACCTGATGGTCACATCTTCATCGTCTTTCGTGACTGCAAATCGTGATTTTTGTAACGCTGAGTTTTCTTTGCTAAATGTTATAGAACTTTTTTGAATGAGTTATTTGACTTAACGTAAGAAGTTTTTCAACGAATTTTGTGTGTTTTTTATTGTGTATGCAGTGAAACTTCATTTAGTGAACATCTTGTATAAATCACCTGTCATGATATCATATTCCTGTCTGAATACTTATCTCTAGATTTGTACACTTAACTACAACGACTCATATTGAATTTGCCTAGCAAATTTGTTAGTCACTATTATTTGATCATGTAGAATTTTTATTTTGTAAATAGGCCGCAGAAGTGCGATGTAAAGAAATCAACTGTGAACAAATTAGGAGATAATTACGATGAATTCATTAATTAGATAAAACAAGGGTGAATTCAACCCGTGACTTGGTCTTATTTCATGTGAAATTGTAACTGAAGTGACTTCAGGCTAAAGTAAAGTTAGAGATATTTGTGTTAACTATTGATTGAATTGTCTAGATGTTGTAATGTAACCATCAAATGACTATCACTTGATCAAATTTCTTGTTTTGTTTGATATTATTTCTCTTCTGACGCTTCCAAGAATTCTTAAGGCACATCGCATGTCTAGAAGCCTCTGCGCAGCTGTCGTGAGGTCTATTTGACACACAAATAGACAGATTTTGACTGCTGGTCTGAGAATTTAGGATTTTAGGTAGTTATGTTTTCTCACTTTTTTTTATTTTTCTCAGTTTTATGTTGGCACCTCCCTCCTCTTTGCCTCTCGTGCGGGTGGCCGACGTCTCGAGCAAGCCACCTCGCGTGCGAATGTCTTGCTTTCTTTCACTGTTAAATTTTTGCTCCTCGTTTGAGACGCTAACGATGATCATCTATTCTCACCAGCTGCAGCTTGCTGGTTATTTGAAACCACCCGCTGAACTCGTGTCTGTGATGAATGATTTTTCATTCGAAAATATCGTGATGTTAAAGACCTTCCTTCCTCTGTCGATGTCCATTTTGGGACATTTGGTGCGAGATGGTGCCCAGCGGATGCGCTAGTCAATTACTACACCATCACTACGTGACTGGGAACCTTCAACTCCCTTTATATCAGCTTAAAATGTACTGACAAATATTCTATGTTCGAATTAAAATGGTATTACAGTATTATTTTCTAGGAAGAGGCAAAAGAACTGCACAGTAAAGTTTTTGGATCTAAGATCTTAGGTTATTCACTCCTGTAATAGTTTTTAAAATCTTTTAAAAATTATTGTTACCCAGTGATCGATGATATCAGTATTCAGGATACATGAATGACGCATCTTCAGTGTTTGTTATTGAAAATGTAATGGTTGCTTCCTTTGTTGAAATTTTGGTGCAGCCAATATCTTCATGATGCCACCACTCACGTGTGACATAGATATGGGCGTAAAGATCTGGGTCTCTTTGTCTGCGTTTGCAATGATCAATCTTTCATCCAGATTCAATAATTTATTAAGCTGCTTCGTAATAGGTAATCGGATCACTTCTGGACGAAACATTTCTTTCGTTTGCACTATTTCTCTATTTTTACTATTGCTAGACATGCTGTATTTTTTTTACTGTCATATTCCGTGCATGTTCGTAATGGGGTTGAATCTTGTTACATTTCTGCTGTGAATTTTTTTTATAATGTTCTGTAGCAATTTGTAAAAGCTGCGCTCTGTATCTGCTTAATAATTACCTATATTTCTACGTGCTCTTAAATTGATCACATTCATCAAAAGCCGTGAGCTGAAATGAATTTTGCTCTTAAGTGAAGATGTTTTACACGATTTGTCTCATTCACCGTGCCAGCAGTGTCACTTATATTAATAAGCATTGTTGATCTGTTTTCAATTTACCGTTTCTGACAAAAGTATTGTAGTGTGCACAATTTTCATTCAACCTACAGCTACGAGACATTTTTGTAAAGTGTGAGATGTACTAATTCCCAGAAATGTAAACATCGGATTGCTAGCAATTATCATCATGGAATAAGTTTCGCACACAAAGAATAAATAATATAGATTAATTTAATAACAAGGAACATTTGTGCGATTCGTGACAAACTACGAGGGAAATGAAGTCTCGTTTACTTATAACTTTATCTCTTCTTGATACGAACTTTATACAGAAACAAATATAGATTCTACATTGGCAACAAGATGCAATGGCTAGGAACTCAAGCTAATGAATATTTACAAACCCTTGCGGCGCAGAATTATGTACAGTATGTTCAGGTACACCTTAAATTGCAACATAAATAATTAATTTACACTTATGCTGAAGGGTAAAAATGCATTACGTCTCGGGATGTTGAAAAATCCAGAGCGCTGTCATGATTTTGCGTGCGTAAAAAGGCTATGATTAATTTTCACCAGATCGTCGTGAATCGTCATTATCAATTAAATGGAAAGGAAATCGAATATCACAGGAAACAAAAGTGAAGAATAGTACATTCGGATTATTCACGTCACATTTGTTTACGCCACAAAGGCAAACCAAACAGTCCAAGAGTAAGTCGAATCGATATTGCTTCAATTATAAATTGAAACAAAAAGATCGTTTGTCAGCAAGGAAGGAAGTGGGTGGGATTCCAAGGCAAAATAGCAAGTACTGTAGGGTCGCACGCAGTGAACAGAAGAGCTAATAACAAGAAAATATAACAATTCATATAAATAACTCACTACTACAACAAATGCCTCGGTAAAAACGTCAGATGTCACTAGGATGAAGTGAACCAAGCAATCAGCGAAAGTTCTAGGTCCTCCCCAACACTCGACGTAATCAAAGAAATTCCTCCTTTTCCTGTATATGCAATGCGACACATTAATATATGTTTCAATTACCATTCATCAGGAAGTTAATTGATGGTGCACAAATAATTTTTCTCATTTAAAACAATGGAAGTGTTGCCTTTGAAAATTACTAATTCAATTTCGCGGAGCTGAGCCAATGCAGGTCCGCTAAAATCAGCTATACAAGAGAATCAGAATTTAGACAACACAACCTACAACATAAGGTTAAGACATCTCTGTTTATAGTTTTGTTTTAATATCTCGGTTCAAGGCAACACGTACGTAATGTAATAATGTAATGACAAACCAAAAATTTGTAGTTATTGTAAACAAAATTAAAGCCTGGTCTTATTAATTCCTAACTTGGAATAAGCTCATAGCTAAGAAAAACCTTCAGCGTGTACTGGCACATCTTTCGTGTGGGTAGCATGGCATGAAAAAGTTGTAAGAAACATTACGCTTACTGTACACGAATTTGTACTGAACGAAGACTTTTACGAAATGCCAACGAGCAGCCACTCGATCCAAACTCTTAAAAACAATGCCATGCCTCACAAAAGTAACGTATGAAAGTACATGTTATAAACTCTTAAGATTTGAGTTTGCAACACAACGCCCTCGTAATGACCGCCACAACGAGGCGAAGCTTCTCGTGAGTAACATGTATTGGTCAGGGTAAACTGAGACGGGCATGGTAACGCGGAACAAATTATTCCTTAAAACCAACCAACGCGCAATCATATCCTTCGTACGACCTAAACGTAACATCACGAGGTGGCGCAATAATTAATTAATATCATGCTAAAGCGCTTAATATTGGTGGCACATTCACACTAAACAAAACAATTTTACTAATTCTAAAAAATGTTAATGGGGTTTCTCCATTCATACAAAGCTGATTGAATCTTTGCTTTGCGTTTTTTGACTGGAGCTCATGTCAGAGGCTCCCGCCCCCCTGAGTGTCGAGCCCTCCAGTAGACCTGAGACGTAGCCAGAGGAAGGCGGTCCAGAAGGAAGCTGTCGAGAGGGAGGACGAGGAGGAGGTCCTCTTGCTGGAGCTCCCAGCTTGGGTTTGGGAGGCAAAGGAGGAGGAGGAGTGGCCATGTTCCCTTCAAAAGCCCCGTTTCTGTTTGCGCTCCTGACTGATACTCCACCGGTTGCTCCTGAACCGAGGCTGTTTAAAAACGACGAGAAATTTGCAAGATGTGACGCAGAAGACGGGTTAGTATTTGACATCATGCTGTCCATAGGTGAAGGATGAGGATGATGGTGGTGGTCATGACGACGTAAGTACTGAGGGCCGCGGTGCTGTTGCAAGAATGGTCTCGCTGAAGCTGCCAGGAGACTGGGTCGGCTGGCATCTTCGTTCTCGTGACCGCGCATGCGCATGTTCGTGAATACGTCGCCGGCCTGATCCATGGATGTATCGGAGGATAGAGTCTTGTCCATATCAGGAGAAGCGATTAAAGTCCTATCTGGTGAAGCAGTGAGTGAACCGCAGGAAGATTTTGGGCGATTAACTTGATCAGGTCCCATGAACGCATCCGGCCGCGTGTTGACGCAAGATTCTGGTCTTGGTCGAAGCTTTGGTCTTGCGGTCGAAATTTCAGGAGCGTCGTACTGCATGTCAAACAAGAAGTTCCTAGCTATCGTCAAGGGAGTGTCAATACCGTCAAAATTGTTGGAAGAAGACATTGGCAAACCAGTAGATGACGATAACGAAGATGACGAAGTAGCTAATAAAGATGACGGAATAGAGCTTCCACCTCCACTGATGTCAGACCAGAAGTTATGATGTGCCTGATGTTGAGTTAGAGACGAAGAACTCACATGCAATGTTGGAGTTGAGTTCGTATTCAAATTTTGGGAATGTTCTTCGCTCGAGCCATGCGCTTCTGACGCGCAGGCTGAGTTCTGTTGTTGAGAAGACGGAGTGTAATGATAATGATGATGATGATGGTGATTAGGATAAAAGGGATGCTGGTGATCGGTTGTTCGGCTGTTAGAAAAACACGATCCTGAGGCCGCAGAAGGAGTAGCTTCTGGCATCAAGAAGTGGGAAGTTGTATCCTCAGTTTCATCAACGATCATCTCATTCTCTTTATTCTGAAAAATAAAGGTCATATTTAGGCTGAAATTTACGCTGTACTTCATAATTAAATATTCGTGAAAAACAGTGAAATACTGATTTTATTGGCCAAAATAAGAAAGGCAAATGAAGAGAGAAACTGCAACGCAGTCATTTTGTGCAGTCAAGAAGAGTTTACAGCTCACGTAGCAATAGCACGAGGTAAAAATCTTAGTCGTGAAATGCTCATATACAAGCGCGACAGCAGTTGTAGGTTAACACAGGAAGACGAGTGCGAAAGAGTGAACAACGAAAAACGTTAGTTAGTTTCGTGACTTAGTGAGCAAGAATGAAAAGTTTTTTACCCTAAATTAGTGCGCTAAAAGTTACGGAAGCAAATGAAGCGATTGGTAGGTTATTGAGAGACATGAAACTCGTGCTAATAAAGAGCTGCGCTAGTAACGATCGCGTACATAAATACTATATGAATTTATTATTCTGTGCGAAAATTTCCACTGAAAGTGGGCTAAATAAGCGATGAACTCGACAAATAATAAAGTAATGATTGACAAAGAGACCCTCCACAAAACCAATGTTAAAGCCTGTATCTACACAAAATATATATTTCGAAGATAAATATGAAAACAGAAAGCAATGAATAATCAACTTGAACTAGAACACTTGAATTCCTCCGCTGCTCATATGGATAACTAATTCAATTACCAAAACAGGCGTTTCCAATATGGTTATGTTAATCGGAGGTCACTTGGTCAATACATTTCTTCTGCACACACGAAGCTAAGAAGTGGCGTAGCGCTATTAAAACTTAGCGAAATAACACACATGATGCAGGCGATGCGTGGCGAGCTGCCGGCGGTGCTGCGTGCGGTAGAAATAACGTGGCTTCAGCTGAATTTAACACGTGTAAACTGAACCTCCTTCCGAGACTCTCAATCAAATAAGCAGATAGAACGGTAAGAAATCTAATCCTCCGTTCATTTTATATCAAGTATACGCAAATATCAAGAGCGACTGCTCTTACTTGTGGCAAAATAGACTGGAAAACTTACCAGTTGCTTACTGACACGAAACGTGCTCTTCAATATTCAGCATTAAAAAACAGTTATAAAATGATTAGTTTACGTAAATTTTTTGTAACTTTATTAATTTCATCATGACAGATAATAATGAAAATTGAGCTCATGAAGATGCCTATCGGCACGAAACGAAGATGAGAGCCTCAGAAGAGGTTGAGACCGGTGCAGACACGCTGTACACTATTGACAGGCAGGCGCTACTTACTGCAGTCCTAACATCAGGACTTTGAATTGAGCGGAGACGCAGTCTGGTCGTCACTTTTAAGTTTACTGTCTCCTCTCTGGGCCACAGCGTAAGATATACATACATTAAAGCTCATATTACAATGAAAGCATCAGAATAACGACAATTACACAAGACATTAAATTAGGAACGGAAGCCGTAAACGAGGTTCAAGGAGAACGTAATTCTTGAATGTAAGTACGCTGATAATAGATTAATTTGTAAAAAAATCATTTAAGATCACGAAAAAATCCCCATTCAGAGACCGACAATGAGTTTTGAGATTTCAAACAGACCAAGGGATAATATAGACGATGGGTCGCAAGACAAGCTCCATGATAATAATTAGATAAAAATACGAATAAACCAATCAAACAAAGTTCACTTCAACAAGAATAATTCGGTTTCCAAAACTTAAACTTACACTGTAAGTTGATGCGAACCATTCAAGCACTACTCAGTTAGGCTACGAACCTACATTGGCAGAGGTAGATGATAAACAATATAGATAATACTAGACTCTACAATTGATTCCGTTGTGAGGTCATCCCGGATTGCACAAAACAAGCCTTGAGTAATGAAAACTTAGAGAAAAAAATTCAGGCTCACCTCTGAGTCACGCTTCAAAAAGTCCGGCAGTTCAGAGTTTATTTTAGTCCCTCGCTGGTCTTCGATGCGACACATTTGCGCTCGCTTGAGGCCTTCGTACAGTTCTGATGAGGGGACAAGAATAAATACTAGCAACGTCGCAACTGAGTACAGGCAACAACGCTGAGAGGGAGGATATCGTTGAAGATTGTCGGCGCAACATTAGTACAGAGCGCGTATAATTTAATATAATATTAATTTGTATTCAGTAACAACAGAACTGACAGTGGTGTATATACCAAAAAAATCAAATAATTGAGAATGTATGATTAGGGCAAATAACAGTCATGAATTTTTTACTTAAAATATTTATTCTGTTCGAATGTACGGCAGCTTTTGCATGAATCTTACGTTGCATGACCGGTACAATGTTTTGCTGAGCCTCGCAGTGCACTCGAGCGTGGCTCCTTACTCCTCTTCATGATATGCAATTCTTGAACGATTGATAACATTGAACATGACCTTTGTCATTGCTCAATACGAATGAAGCTAACACCATAACAATGAAGAAATTGTGTTCCCCGAACAAGTGTTAAAACTATGTCTTAGCCGGTTATAAGTACATGAATTACTAGTATATAGTTTCGCATGAGCTTATACTATATTATTACAAGAAACACTACAAAGATGGAAGGTCTTACCGTCATTTTCCTTGGTAGGCGTGTGGACTGGTCTGTTGCTGCTGGCTCCTCGGCCCCCGTCACCAGGACGGGACTGAAAATTTCAAAGCATTAACTAAACAATTACAAATTATAACAAATTACAGTTAAATGCTGGTAACCTGCAGTACTACGTAAGGAATCATCGGGAATCAATATCGCAGCAAAAAATGCGGGCAACAGGACATTATATAAACTAGTCAGCCCATCAACCAATGTCGTTAATATTGCATTATAGCTTTAATACAATTAATAATAAAGTTATAATAAATTCGTGATATTTACCTTATCAGTAATGTTAGTTTTACGCCCTAGAGAGCCGCGTAGCCCTCCTGAGTAGTCGCTGCACACATCGGTCTGTGGGAGGAAATTATATTCATTGAACTTATCTTCTAGAGCGAACGCATCGATTAAATAAAACGACTTTACCACCTCGTTTCTATGACGGAACGTTCAGGTCAGAAGGATTGATCGATTACAAGCGTGAACAATTGCGAAGGAGCGCTGGTTTAGCGATATCTCTGAATCCATTTAAGACTATAAAAAGAAAGATATTCAAATAATATTTTTTCATCCTCATCGGTGATGCAATCCAATGAATTGTCAGCTTGAATCATCGGTTGTTGTGAAACGCATAGCTGCGAAATGTATTCAGAAGAGTTCAGGGCAGGTCTATAAAAAAATTGGATTTTTTACAAACATTGGCTAATCACTGACGGCTTCTCCAGCTATGCCACCAATCACAAACGAGAAATCGGGCGCTACGTGAAGTTAGGCCGCTACGTGTACTTAGGCCGCTATGTGTACTTAATGAGTTTCGACAGTACGGACACAGATGTGCAGAGCAAGTTGTGAGAACTGAACGCACCTTGGCAGATCGCGCATCGTAGTCACAGTTGCTAAGGAGCTGGTGTGAAGTCTTGCTCTGCAGGAGGTCTTCAAACACTCTGTTGGTGATCGCGTCCAGAGCGTCTGAGTCCTGGGCAGCACTTGCGACACCACAGCCGTTGCCCACTCCCGAAACGCCCCACTCTGCGTAACACAAAACATTATTTATTTATTTATGTCAATAATTCAATTCGAGTAACAATCATTGACGTTTGTTCCGTGTTGAAAAGTGATAGTCAAGATTTAATTATTCAGTTTAAAAATATAATTTATGAAATATTGTTAATTATGAACAGTCGCAAAGCCGCGGTGAAGAGTTCCAAATATGACCATCCGGCTGAACTTCCAGATGCGGGATTGATTTTATTTGTGTTTAATTCACAAACACACGAATAAATTAATTTTAATAGGTTGGCCAGGATTAAACATGATTTATAAAACGCGAACTTACCCTTTACATCTTCCTTGGTTTGTACGACGAACTTTTGGCCATCCAGTTCTGTTATTTGCCCTTTGACGTTCACGGGTCGAGGGTTCTCTTCAACCTAAAGAACGTTTATATTCGTAAAAGGGAAGACACATAACACAAATATTAGGATAAACCGTGAATTATTATACACGATATTGGCAGTCAAATTTGAATAAGAGCCAAGGTTAACTTTCCTTTTTGAATACTTCCTGAGAATTTTCCGCTAGAAAATGGAAGGCGTAAAATTTTAATCGATTTTGTTGCTTTTGAGAGAATTTTTTTATACCTTTCACTGACAAAAATGATCACAGTATCACTTGTAAAAACGTACCTAGGTATCTAAATAGGAAGCTTTCGAATATATCCGGGTTTGATGTGCAATCAATCGTAATTTCGAAGCCTACTTGATACACGTGGTTGGTTAACTAAAGGTGTAGATGTGCAAAAAATTTTAATAGATAAAGGCCTAAACAACAGAGGCGGATGACTCACGGTGTGGATGTGCATGAGGTCGAGCTTGAAGCCGTATTTGGCGAGGATGGGTCTGAGCACGTCGCTGGCCAGCTTGTGGGGCTTGGCTTTGACACAAACAGTTTTCTGATTGGGCAGGTCTAGCCTGAACAGGACGAGTTGCTGCAGACGAACCTCAGCGCCACACAGCACGCTGCTGTCCTCGGATCCCGACACGAGGCGGTCGCCTTTCCTGCGCACGTAGAAAAATATACTTAGCACAGAGCAGCATTAACGAGAATACGAGAGCAACCAATAAATACAACTCACCTCGCCTGTGTGCGTCAAAAACTGCACGCAACACGCGATATATCCATCGAAAATATAATATAAAATGATAATACCAATTATCTTGCCTTTACACGTATAATAATAAATTCAGTAAGGAGCATTACGGGCGAAAACGTGAGATAAATTGATTAAAACTCGGCTGTTGTGAGAGCCGAGAATATAAAAGAATAAAAGATCAAAACTGATCAGCTAGGTAGTAAGGAGCTCGTATGCCACATTTTTGCGGTGATAATCTGGAAATCATGGAAAGATCCGTAATCACGAAACGGATTCCGTAATCACAAAAAAGATTCCGTGATAAAAAAAAAAATCCGGAATCTAAGGAAAAGATTCGGTAATCGCGGAAAAGATTCCGTTATCGCGGGAAAGATTGCGTAATCGCGTAAGAGCTGCAACGAAAAATGTAATGTGTAGCGCTATTGGGACGGCCCTGACCCCGCCATGACGACGTTGTAGGCGAAGGGAGGCCCCGGCGGTCCAGCATGCGCCTCATGACGCGCTCGACCGAGACGCCCCCACGCACGGCCACGACGCTCTGGCTGCGGTCCGGCAGGATGACACGACATCGACCCGACACCGTGCCACTGCCGCCCTCACCGCCGCTCAGGCTCAGGCAGTCGCTGCTCGTCAGGCTCTGAAAACAAATTAAAGTATTCAAGTTAACCATATTGTGGTCGCGTGCTATAAACTGAACAGATTGGTTGCTTTTGGAATGGTTTCGTTTTGGTCGCTTTTCGTATGCATGGATTATACATATAATCGACGCGACCATTGTAGGGTTAGATAATTAGAGACATCATGGGATGATTCAACGCACGTCAAGTGGAAATGCTTTCATTCTTTTTAGTGCTCTTAAGTATAAGCATAAATTGTTATCTTACGAGCCATGTTCTGTAATTATTGTTTGAGAAATATAACGCGTCAAGATATTTAAAAAGTCATACACATAATTTTATAACGAATCTAATATAATTGAAATGTAAATGTCTAAATGTTAAGCACCGAAAGTAAAATTTTTGCGGAAAACGCACGTGAATAAATGCCTATGCCACGAAGAGGAGAAAATTCTAGTCTAAGTTCATTACTATAAATACTAACTTCTTTCGAAACGGCCTTTCTTCCCGCCACCAATGCGCCCTCGGAGCCCGAATTGAGAGACGTTCTGCTGCCAGACACGTCGGACGTCTTCCCGATGCTCCCCGACGATTCTGAGGGATGTCGGCTACCGACAACCCTTGACACGCTGTTGCTCCTCACCCCGACACCTTGCTGAGCGTTGGCACTGTCGGTGCTGGTGCCACGGACCAAGCGACTGGCACTGACACTGAGGCTCTTGGCCTTCGTGGTCGCCGAGTCTTTAACGTTGGACGAGATGAGCGGTCGCTTGGACTTGGCAGCGGCACGCGCGTCCGCAGCGCCGGACTGGAGGCGGTCTTTGCTCTTGCTGCGGTCTTTGCTGCGATGCCATGGCAGAAGGGAACGTCGACGGCGCTCGTCAAGATCATTTTTACCTTTGTTAAACTGGACCAAAAGAAATATTTATTACCATACAGCATGGAAATTGAAACAAAATATGGTGAATGAGAATAACAAATTGGGTTAATGGACATTGTTCATGATACTAAACGAAATCAGGAGACTTAAAATCCTACTTATGATAAAAATAAAAGTTTTTAACACCTAAACATTTAAGAAAACTGTGGAAAAGTGTTTAGATGATTGGGACACCGAAGTAGTGAAATTAATTTTGAGACAAAAAATCACTTGCAACGATAAATAATGTTTCATTTATTCTACGGGAGCTCCCAGCAAGTGACAAAAACCATGCAAATGGTGACGAAATCACGATAAAGAATACTATAAAACATTTGAGAAGCCACGTTCGCAAAACTCAATAAGTGAGATTTAACCATTCCAGCACAGTGAGTTCACTCAAATTTAAGATGTAAACATTTTAGTCAGAGGAACCTTAAAAGCAAGACCATTATTTGTATGTCACGAAGACACAAGTGTTCCTCCATAGACTTGGATACATGAAATGCAAGTGGAGAGCAGATGCACGCAACTGAATCAATAAAGGAATCTCAGTGCCATGTCAACCAGAACGATAGTTAATGTGATTCACGATCGACTGATAAGCAAGATAAGGCAATAAAAACAAGCTTTATAAAGAAAAGCACGACTGCGCACAGGTCAGAACCCCGCAGGGCGGCCAGGGACGCACATCTGCGCCGCGCGAGTTCAGAATGCCAGGCCACCCTCCGCCTTAAAGCTTATATATGACTTGTAAACGATAATCTTCTTATAAATAAAGCTGGTCGATTGAATCCGGGACGATATTTTAGTACATAATAAATTTACTGGACGAACATCTAGTTCAAGTTGAATTACTCCTATCGCAAGGCAAGCATTTTAAGCGCAAAGCAATTGGAGACGACATGAAGAATATTTTTTTGAGTTATCTTTAGCAGAGAAAAGGTACATTTAAAACCAGTGAGAGTGAAGATATTTTATGTCATTTTATAATAAATTTAAGTAATTAAATAGAGCTCAAGGACTACTTGATAGAGCTAACAAATAGCATCATTATTAAACAACAATTTAAATAGCATCATTACTAAACAACAATTTAAAGTAGTTGTCTTGTCTCGGCCTAGGTCAATAATACGCATAAAATGCAAAGCAAATAGTTTTTCGCAATAAAATACAAGAATTTGTCATTTGAATTTACAAGAATGTCTTTACAAGAATTCGACGAAGACACAAAAAATCTAAAAACCGACTGGCTAGATAACGGAGGCGTCAGAAATAGTCTTAGAAACACCAAGGCTTTTAGGTGCACAGCATCACACCACATCACAGCGGAGAAATACGACGTAACGCGCGCACTCTAGTGTGTACAAAACCTCTACACCACAGAGATGTGATTACTGCAGAGACAGAACTAATGCTTGGCAATGATGGTAGTACCTTTTCTAGAGAGAGTAGCTAAGTATGGTGTGAGTAAGGTTCAATAGTATCTGAAGTACAGCAAATTATTATCAATTTCTAAATCCATATCAAAAAGCCTGTTTTTCATTGGTCTTTAATTGAAGAAATACTTGTTAGGGAATTTTTGGCACCTATATAAATACAAATAGCCGTTATTGATATCGAATAGTTCTTTTTGCTAAAATGATTACGATTTTTCTCGCTGAACGAAGCTTCTTTCTCTTTGCATGGCAGCAAGATATGGGCATGCCAATTGCGGCCGCTGCTCATTATTTAACCTCGTATCGTTATCTGCTATGTACTGACGCACATTTAAACCGCTCTGATTATCTAAAGATCGCTTCTTGCGTCTGAACACAGAGAATCGTCGCCGCCCCAAGGCTTCTCCGTGCATACTGTGACCGTCAAAAGAGCGAGGACGGTCAGCGGCATCGTTTTTCCCCGGGCTTAGCAACTTGTTGTTTTGTTCGAGTTGACTCGTGTCGTCAGCTTTCTGAGAGAGCGATTTCTGCTTGAATCTCATGGAATGGAATAAGTGACTAAACTTCCCTTCACGTCGTGTAAACGAGAATAGACTTCCCGTTTCGTTCCTTCCCTGGTTATCGTTATTATCCAAAGAACTTTCAAACGATGTTTTTTGATATAAATTGGTTTTCTTGTTGCTCTCAATAAGACGTGCTGCATGGAGGTCGTCAGGAATGGTGAGCCCTAACGCGTCATATCGGATATCGTTTGCATGACGGAACAGCGTTGGATCGGATACTCCAAAGGACTTGCTAAATGGACGAGGTTCAATTAAAGTCGAATTGACTGCGCCACAAGATTCTCCGATACCACTGAAACTATTATCTAAGAAACTACTCAAGCTTTCAGTAAAATTATTCGCGGTTGACGAAGCTGTCGGACTAACTGGATCTGGACTCGGCAATGATAACGTTTTTTCGCCACGAGCGATTCGTGATATTCTATTATTATTGACTCTAATAAATTTCTCGTCAAGGACGATATTCGGTATATTAGGAGTCTGATTGCTCGAATTGCAATTGGGAGAATATGTAGACGAGTTCATGTTTATGTTTAACCCCTTCAGAAGTTCGCTGATCATTGCGTCATCTTTAGATTTGCTGGAGAAATCATTTTTCTGCAGTTTACAGATAGGTTCTCCCAAAGAAATAGGATGGCAGTCAGACATTGTTACGAGTAAATTACCGTCTTCTTCTGCAATTACAGCAGAATTATCACCAACTTTATTTTGAGTAGTAGCATCGTCTGAAGGCAACGAATAGTGATTATTATTTCGAGAAAGATCGGAGAAATTCGTCCTTCTAGCGTTGTGTTTGTTATTGTTTACTTCTTGGACAAGAACACCGCGTCGAGGATTGTTGTGCAAGTCATAACGCAGGGCAATTCTCAATTCTGGACCATTTTGTGGTGAATAAGGCCCGCTTGCTGCGTCACACGGATGACACACTCCGAATTCGTTAACGCTTTTCTTATGATAAGGACGGGAATCATCACCAGGACTGATCGAAGTTACGACTTCAGGAGAGGCAATTTTAGCTCCAGCATAGGGGGAAACTGAAGAAAAATTATCGTTCAGTGCATCGTAATGCGTTTCGTCACGCGAAGGAGCCATATTGTCGTGGTCATTCGACAATCTGTGAGTAGCTAAGTAATCTGGGCTAGGACTGCTACAAAAACTAGTGGGCGAAGAACTTCCAGTTCGCGATGTAATATTCTGGTCCAAGTATCCGTAATGAAGACCAGTAGAGCTACTAGCACTTGAATTCTTGCGAGAGATTAGGCTACCTGGACTAGGACAACTAGGAAAGGTTGAGGGAGAAGAAGTGTTAGTTCGAACACGGCGGTCCAGCGAGGCATGCGACACACTGGACAAGCCGCTGCCGAAGGAACCATGCACAGAGTCATTAGAGAAGCTCACATTGTTGGCGTTCTGAGCGTCTCCAGACGACAACGATTGAAGAGGCAGGATTCTCAAGTTAGGGTCCCAAGATTCCTTGTTACCAAACTGCAGGCTTTCACCTCGAGATTCTCGTTCTAGGCACTCCTGGTACAGGGTAGACTTCAGGAAGCGACTGTAGCTGTCAAACTTCATCAAGTTGAACACCTGCTTCTGGGCCTGCGCGAGAAAAAAAAATCATGAATGGGTACGGTGAAAACAACTTCGGAAATTTTGCTAGCTACAGAAACTACGAGAAATAAATAAAAAGCAATAAATAGTAAAAAATTTAAATTAGAACAAAAATCCGTCGAACACCTTTTGCTTACTCGTGTAGGGTCATGAGTGTTTTTGGAAATGAATTCCAGTATAAATGCTCATCAATTACCAGTGATTAGACTGAAGGTGGCAATTGAAACTCAATGCTGAAAGTATTGCAAATTGATTAGTAGATCAATGTTAAGCAGTTTATAGTAATCCCTCTCTCCAAAATGTACTGTACACATCATGGGACAGATTCTAACCGTTGCGAAGAGATCTTGAGTGGGTTGTCGCAGTCCGTCTTGCGCCATCTGCCGCGCCTGGGAGTCGACGTTGACGGGCTCCGGGGCGTTGTCACCCAAGTGGGTGTTGTAAATTTTGGTTGCTGCTTCATGTCGGCCGGCCCACTCACTCCAGGGCTTGTTGCACTCCACGTTGTTATTGTTGTTCGATGAATCCGAACTGATTCCTAGTCGGTATCGCTCGCATGCAGTCCAAAAATATATATTCTCGTGACTAATTTCCTTCTTGAGGAACTCCTGCAAGACAAAATGCAAAATGACACACGGCAAAAAGGAACTGCAGATACGGGTATTAGGTCTGCCGATAGCTTATCTTATCAGGAACATTATAATATTATGAAATGAGCCATATATTTCACCGGAAGAAATAAATCTATCGATGGAGATGACCTCAGACAAGTGAAGGTAAAGGTTTACATGAAACTCGATACTTGAAAACAAATGAAGCACAAACATGTCTCAAGTCATCAGATATATTACCAGAAGTTAACAGATAAATAAGATGAATGAGCGTTGAGACAGGAATGATTGCTTATAGAAAGAGCTTTCATCACACATTCATCAGGAGAGATTACCAAAATGTACATTTACCGACATTTCTTGAAAAACTGCAATTATATAACAATTCCTGCACATTTGGAGACAATCTGCTGCCAGCAGTTCATGTAGCCAGAATACGGTCATCACTAATGAAAAATTGAGTAAAGGCGTTGTGTTTATTTATACTCTTACCGCTGAACACCAATGACATCTTTATGTGTTCCAAACTCACACTGAAGGTGTTGAGACCAACAGGGTCTTCGAGGAGCTTCTCAAAGGACGTGGCCCACGCTTGCACTCTGTCGCCCGACCCTCCTTCAGAAGGCGCGTCTTCCGACGATCCTGCTCGGCTGTCCATGCATCCTGTCTGCTGCAACACACCGAATTTATTTGAATTGAAGTTTTCTTCAAGTTCAACTTTCGGCACATTTTATCACATGACTTGCCGCTTCATTAGTTCACTGATTACCGCTTCATTAGTACTGATGTGGATTGGAGGGAACTGTTTTCCCACAAAGGCTTAATTGGACATTTAAATCATGTTTGATCACACAAATGAATGCCGTATCAGTGCACAGATAAGGGAAATCAAAATAGTAATCATCTCTGGTATGCTTGAATATTGCGACGTGTTTCAGTTTCTTTATAAGTCGTGCATAACAGCAGAACTATGGCGGTGTTTGCAGTGGAATAAGATTTATAATCATAATAATACTGGTCAATAAGATCATTTCGTAAGCAAAAAAAGAATAAATTTTTTACTGAATCAAATCGAACATAAGAATATACTCCACTTGTATAAGGGAGCCAGAGGGCGAACACGCAGCCATAACACTAACTTAAACTTGTTATCCTTTTTCGTTGCTAATAAGCAAAACAAATAAACAACAGCGAGACATTCTTGTGATTTTATTAGGTAAATTTGATAGAATGGCAAATCATGGCAGCATATTGAATAAATACCTATAGCGTACAGACTAGCACATCATGAAGCGTATTGATTAAACAAATCGTCAAGTTAGGCTATTTTATGCGAGCTCGCACATATCCAGTTTCACCAATGGCTGTGTTTGATTTTGTCAAACAAATTATTTTTGAACCGATATCAAATAAGTATGAAAAAATTGCATTTTGCTAACGTCACGTCGCACAGTTCATCCTCAAAGTCCACTTTCGGTCATCCAAATTTTCAATAAATGAAGCTAATGAGGCTTATTGGAAACAATCCCGGTAGTTCAGAAGACATTATATGTTGGTTGGGTAACATGTACTTGGGAAGCTGAACTCAGTTTCAGACGGCGTGGAATAATGACATTCACATTCTGATATTTATAATACATAGAATCGTCAGTTCTAATACTAATAGCCGAATTATTGAAATGCAATGTATATTTAAATATTAATATCCCACATAATGTCGTGATTAGGCCCATTAACATCTATAGACTTTTTAAATTTATTTCAGAAGATAAAATATCCCAGTTGATGACCAGCCTACTCAAGATAAGTTTTTCAGGGGATTTCCACAAAGAAAATGACGTTGAAACAACGTTTATTACGAGTAGATTTCGTTTAAACAACGTTCAGTCAACGTCGTTTCGACGTCAGATGCGTGTTAGGCTAGTGTCAAAAGACCTGGTACTAACCAGTACCAGTAAATACCATTAGAGTAGAACAAAATACCTGTAGATAAAAGTTAAAAAAAGTGCAGGAGTATGAAGCTGACCTCGGCGTCAGAAGGGATGGTTTGGTCGGCAGGACGACGGTGGAAGGGGCGCGGTAAGCTGGACTTGCGTGTGAACTGACGTCCGCTGCTGGTGCTGCTGCTGCTGCTGCCGTCCCCGCTCTGCACAACCAAGAGGATTTGTGAGAATCTTTAGTTTCCTAAGTATATGTTTCGGATTTGTAGAATACTGTAGTATTCTACATATGTAGTATTCTACATATGTAGTATTCTACATATGTAGTATTCTACATACTAGAATACTGTAGTATTCTACCTATTCTGGATTTGTTAGAATCTTTAGTATCCTTAGGATGTGTTTCGGACGTAGGAGTCCCAGGCCACACTGCAACGTCTCTATAGGTCGCGTGGGCTTAGCAGAAAACATAGACAAGTCTGGGCACAGGGAGAGGTACTCGTAGAACCGAAATTTCAAGGGGGGCATAAGTATAATAAAAAGTGTGTCCTACGAGGATAAATAATGTGGGGAAGAAAAAAAAGTGCCGGATGTAAAAAATGGAACATCAACAAAAACGGTGTACGATACAGAGAAAAGAAGGGGGCATAGAGATGAGGAAATAAAAGGCGAATAAAAAAGAGCGAGGACTTACACGAGACTTGTTATTTTTTCTAAAAATCGTTATATGTAGATAGAGGGATGGTTGAGAAAAGTCAGTAAAAAAGAGCGAGAAAATGTGAGTAAGGAGGGAAAAGAGAAACTGAGAGAACTAAAATGTGGAGAAGAAAAAAAAGTGCCGGATGTATAAAATGGAACATCAACGAAAACGGCGTACGATACAGAGAAAAGAAGGGGGCATAGAGGTGAGGAAATAAAAGGCGAATAGAAAAAAGGGCGAGGAGAAAAAAGTGTATACACGAGACTGATGTTATTTTTTTTCTAAAAATCTATTCTATGGAGAGAGAAGGATGGATAAAAGTCTGTGAAAAATAGCGAGAAATGGATGAGTAAGAAGCGAAAAGGGATAAACTGAGAAAGAACTGAAATAAGCAGTTGACGTAATCAAAAATAAAGAATCCAGAAAGCCATGGGGTGAGATATGAAAAAGTGCGGCCTGCGCAACGATTATTAAGTATGATATTCGAAAACCATATTTAAAAAAGCGACGCCACTGCCCACCTCACATAAAAAAAATCGTTTGCATCCACTGGCAGAATGATGAGGAGGGCTATATGAATTTCACAAATATTTTTAATCAAGAAAAATAATCCCAAGCATATCCAACAAGCTGGAGAAAACGGAATCACGAGGCAACTGGGACAGGAAGTTATCGGGTAAGCTGAACATTGATATAGATGCAAAGAACAAGAATTGGTGTGGTTCTGTGAAAAAATCAAATTTTAACATAAAAATACATCCATCTATAATTAGAGCAGAGATACGAATATTACACCACAGCAAGTATATCATTCCAATTATTTCATTTTTTGTACTTTTTTTAAACAGGGTTGCCAGACGGTCATTTTTTCCGGACAAATTCCGTGATTTAGTTTTTCTTAATTGCGTTGGCCGGCTAAAATTTATGATAGGGGTACTTGCTAATTAAATTTTAAATACTGCAAAAATAAAATAAATGGAATTTTTATAGCAGAACCTACAAAAAACTAGTATATTTTGAGTTATCGGCCTTTTTTGGCCTTTTTTATTCTCGGATTTGGCCAATTTAGGCAACCTGGATTATGTACCACTACGTCCTGGAGAAATACATTTCGTGGTACGCATATGTACCAATACGTAGTCAACGTGTTAATAATACGTAGTCAACGTGTTGTTAATATAAAAATACATCCATCTATCATTAGAGCAGAGATACGAATATTACACCACAGCAAGTATATCATTCCATTTAGACACCCAATAGCGACGACTCATCACTGACCCCGAGAAGGGTGTCCATAGAGCGGCTTTGAGCGACCTTTTCACCAGACTGACTAAAATAGGTCGGAGTTCTTCGTGGCGAACACAGAAATTGTGCAGTGGGCGCGTTTTCGTAGTGTTCTATGATATTCTGACTGCTACTAGTCAAGCCTCGAGTGCTACGAGGAATGATGAGCTTCATACCAGGCCTTAGGGAGCCCGTTCTAGAAAATGTAGAGGGCAGAGGAGGTCGTCCCTCCACAGTGCCGCTGTATCGACGACAGCCGGCGAGGTCCAACTCAGAAACTGCATGCAAGCTGCCCCAAACCTCGCTAGGAACGAGAGGTTTCTGTCCAGGAAAGAATCGTTGCTTGGCTCCGGTCCATTTCGTTCTAGTTTCGTCGTTTGGGTTCCAGAATTCATTTCTGACATTACCAGAGCCCCTGCGAGGAACATTCTTCTTAAATTTAATTGTATCATCTTCAGGACTACCAAAAATGCCTCCTTCAGCCCACCAGATGCTGTTGCTTCTGTTAGCTGATTGCCAGTGTAGGTTTGAGGTCCATTTAATAAGCTCTCTTGGCTCATCGAGTGCTGGATCGCTTCTCAAGCCTGATTTACGCTCAACACATCTACAAAGTTCCTTAGCCTGCAAACGATCTTTCTCGTGTATGTTTTTCATTGCAAGACTTAGATTAGAACGTATTTCGCCAGGGTAACTGCTGGCACTAACAGCTCCATCCTCGGAATGACAAAGCTCGCTCTCAGACGCATCATCACAGTCGGCGAAATGAAGGTTCGGCGAGGAACCACAGTTCGGAACTTTACCCATCATTATCTCTCAAGCAACGTGAAAATTCGTAACATCGAGCAATATGTTCAAATGAACATGGTTGGAGTCACTTTGAAATACACTCCTGACCTCAGCACATACAATCTTATGACGTTACTTCATTGTAAAAGACGAAGCTATACTTAAAATTTACATTAATTCTGTAATGAAAATAACATTTACAACGTAACAATAATTTAACTAAGCTAGCTTGAAATTTCAATTTCATACACTAGACATTAAAGAAGCGTGACAAATTACCGGAAGCGTTGCATCAAAATCGAGTAAAATTATTAATTATAATTAGGTAAAAGGAATCGAGACAAATTCACGGATAGGAAGCCGACAAAATTTTACACATGGAATCATAGGAGAAAGAACGACCTTTAGAAGCGCAGTATTTGAAATTTTCACAAATCATTTTAAAACGATACTTTTAAATAGGCTCTAAAAATGAGGCAGCATGCAAAGCATTGTTGGTAACTTTGTGGCACTTAAAGCAGTTTCAGGCAGTACACGACGACACAATTATGCAGTATTTATTTATTATTGGATTTGCAACGATCCCACACCCTTTCAATCAAATTTTTGCCCATACCTTTTTATCGAAACGCAACGGATTTAGCACAGTTCCAAGTTTTCGTTTACGAGGAGCGCCGATCTTATGTTTAGACGAATCTATGTGATCGCCATTAGACTGGAGACAGTCTGACGATAAAGACTGCCTTGTTTGATCGGATAATTTGCGTTTACCCGCTTGCTCATTTTTCATACTTCCTTCTTTTGACATAAAGTGTCTCCTTGAAAGCCTAAATTTACTGTCGGCTTCTTTTTCTTTGTGATTTTGATTTATGACGAAGGTTGTCACTGAATTACCATTTTCATAATTCGCAGGGCTATGAGAACAGCGGTCTTTGTAGTAGTGTCTCGTGAATTTATGGCTAGTCTTGCTAACACTAGCATTGGCAACGCACGGGTCATCTTCAAGCAGTTCAGTAGCATTACACGAGTCTTCGAACATTGAATCAGAAGCTATTAACTTTGAAGTCCCTTTACCGGTATTTTCAAGATTCATGAAGTAATGTGAGTTTTGGTGCGCGTTAGGACACCCTGATACATCAACATCAAATTGTTCTTCGTGCATACCTGGTTTATTATTTGAATTTTCTTTTTTTATATAAATACAACGAACACTGGCACATGAAATTGTGGGAAGAAACTGCCGAGTTAGATAATTCTGTCGCCACGCACGCACAGAAAAAAATGTGCTCCACGTCGTACGCGCAGTATCGTCGTTTGAGTTTACTTAAGGAGCCTAATAATAATATACGGGAATATTTTCTTTCCCCTGCTCCTTGTTAATATTTTTCTAATAACATCCTAATACCAAACATCCGAGCAACTTTAAACCTTCTCACGCGATCGAAAACGAGCGACAGTGTTATCCGCACAACTGACTGCACACAACTGGCATACCATCATACGAACTCCTTATTTGAAACTGATAAGCATCCTTATGTTATCAAGTATTTATCAGAAGTGAGTGGACTTATCTAAGATACCAACGGTAAGGCTGGAGACGATAACAAGTTTATACCGAGTTTACTGCTATTTTCCGTTAAGCTGAACATTATTACTTGAAACTTATTAGCATCTCAAGATCGCAGGAAATGCAGACGACGACAGAAAAAATTCAGGATACAGTGATAATAAATGTAAATATAACGGTAAGCTAGGCCTATGGGATTAGTTAGGCCTAAATAAAATTGGCATGGTTAACTATGCATACTATACAAAAATGTGGTATTCTGATTATGGTCAATTCGATAATCGATAACTAAGCATGACAACAAACATAATTTGAAGCAGAGTTTTAAAACACAAAATCATACACGCTATTTTGTAACGGAAAAATTAGTCAAACGTGGTAGCAAGCAGTACAGTAATCTTACCTAAAAAATAATTATTCAACAATTTGAGACTGGTGTCAGCAAGTTCAGTTACTTCAGTAAGCTGTGAACCTTGTCTCTGTTCAGCTTGCACAATGAATGTGTACAAGTGTCTGGCCCGAGCAAGCGATTAACGTGAAGTATTAACATTTATTTTGACCTTGACATTCTCATGGACAACAAAAACCAAGAAAGAAGCCAGGAAAAAATCGAACTACAGAAGAAGAGCTCTAACTACTAATTAAAAAAAGGAAAAACAATGCCAATTACTGTACTTTGAGGATCAACACGAAGGCTGAGAGATTGCGTTCTTGAGGAAAAAAACCAATGCCCCATCATATGGTCGTCTCCGTATAATTTTAAAAGACGTGGTATCTATTTTTAAAATATAAATACACAGATAAGAGCTTCAGACATTAGGATTCAGCAAAACCGATAAGATTACTTCCGGTAGCAAGCATACCAC